GTGCATAGTATGAAGATTAGCAAAAGGTGTTGCTACAAAAAACATTAGATCAGGAACTCTACGTTTACCCAGTTTTATTTGTTTCTCTTTTGAAATTTTCATGAGTGTATGTCTATTGGTTTAAACTGCATAGTATGCCTGAACTTATTTGTAAATTGTACCTTTCTAAAGGTCACCTGCACTGCTTTTAGTGCTCATTGAAACGAGTTTTAGTGCGATTGTTGATTTTCATTTCTATTTCTAGCAGGAGACTGACTGGGCGGGTTTGCAACATCTAATAAAATTCTATAAAAGTAGAAGATTTGATGCAGAGATTGGACTTCCCAAGTAAGATTGGAGCCTTTTAATGTTTGGACCTCTCTTTGATAACAAGCGGAAATTTTAATAAAACTGATATACTCCTTTCAGGCCGAACGACTTCCGTGATTTTCCAGAATATTTTGTGCTTGAGGTAATGAATAGAGGTAGGATATGAGCTTGATATAGTGTCACGAATTGATCTCAGCTGTTAGCTGGAGATGCTATTAAATATCCTATCGAGACAGAAATTGTTACTGCTCTGCTTACTGCTTAGTATATATATTGGACACCTCCTGAAAAATATTAGGCTACTAATTACTATTTAGATGCAGTGGTGAAATAGCAAAATGATGAATGTTGAGCCAACATAGAACATGATAAAAATAATGAGCATAAGGACGAAATTTTTTCGGAAAATTCGTCAGGAAGAGGGGGTTCGATTCTTTGTTTTTCACTTCTTTGCCTGATTTGCTCTGGGCTTGTCCATGGTTATCCCCCTGATATTATGGTTTCTAACAGTTAGCTCTTCTTTTTTCACTCGGTTAGTGTCAGTGGCTTTTATTGGTTATTGTTAAGTGGAATCCATTTCTTCTCTCAAACTTTGAACCTTGTGATAGAATGTCTCAGTAGGGGACGCCTGGATTGGATCTCCCGAGTCGCATTTATCGTTTTTGTTGCAGTAGTATAAGCATGCTGCCTTCCTGAGTGTATTTATCTAAACTCATTTCATTTGCTTTGTTTTAGGCCATTCCACATGCCATTGCAATAGTTAGGGGTGCCGAGGGGAAAAGCCCTCGAGAAGCTGTTGAATTTATTTTACAGCTTCTGAAGGTATACATCTTCATTGTTTGATTCTATCATGTAGCCTTCTTATAAAAAAGCTGATAGTCTATACTGCGCGGCAGTGATTTTCTTTCAGTTATGAAACATGAGGTTTCCCTATGTTTTTTTTGCTCGTTTCCAGTCCATATTATCATTATTGCTGATTTTGCCATTTTGCTTTTCCATTTTTATAGTACAATGACAACAGTGGAAATCCGTATTCTGATGTGTTCTGGCTTGCTGTGCTTGTTCAGTCAGTTGGTGATCTCGAATTCGGTCAACAGGTCTGTGGTTATTATCTTGTAGATTGTTACTCCACGATTTATCGGCAGTAGTATAACTTTACATTTTGGAATTTTCCTTCTGACGCTATGAGGGGTGAAAACCCTTGAAGTTTCAGACTTTTATGGAAAAAACAAATATTTAGTATTAGGGGGATGACAGTGGGTATGAGAAAAAAGTGGAGCGCCATTTCATATGGAATCAGTTAATATGCAAAAATGTGAATTTAGAAGTTTAATATACCAGCGTGATACATGTTTTCTTGCTCAATACGTCTTGTTTCTTTGATTCCCTGGCAGAGTCTAGCGTTTTTGGCCCCTCTTCTGAAGCGCATTGACAGACTCTTGCAGTTTGACAGGTAACCTCTTGTTTGATGTTTATGATTTGGTCGATTTTAACAGAATTTATTACTGAGAGCATGTTGGAGATGTACCAGGCTGATGCCAAGCTACAATGGAATCTTGACGATTAGCTGCATCCGAACGTTGGCACAGACTGCTCTCAAGCTTTCTGACTCCATCAGTTTCGTAAGTTCTTTCCTTTAACTTTTTTTTCTCCAAGTGCTCGTTGTAAGATAGGTACCATCGCTGACAGTTTCCAAAGTTCTTTCCTTTCATTTTTTCCTCCAACTATTGCTGATAGCATTACAAGCTTGCAATTTACTGACTTCAGGAACACATCTGCAAACTTATCGAACCTTTCCGAAATTTGGATACGATACTGCAAGTTCGGGTAGAAGCAAGTAGGGCACTTCTTGACATCGAGTACCAATCCAAAGGCATAAGTTCTGCACTGTCATTGTTTATGAAATATGTGGTAGAAGAATCATCTTTGAGAGGTTGGTTGCATTCTCTTGCTAAAACATATCAGCTTTCTGTTTCTGTTAGATCAGTTATAACGTTTTATATACTTGTCGCTTACAGGGCAGGTTAAATTGTGCGTACACACAATGCGGTTATGTCAAATAGCAGTTGGATGTGACTTGGATGATCGTGTCGAAACTGTTAATCTTCTGGATTTGCTGCATCTTTTCAAAAGCCATGTAGTGTTCAACAATGAATTTCTTCGCCACCACTTGTTCTGCATTTTTCAAATCCTTGCTGAAAGGTCTGTAACCTTTACATTCATTGTCTGCCAGATCATTTTAACAATGAATCATTTTCATGTGGTGCATTTGGTTCCTTATTCATTTTGGTTACTTGTGGGTAGCAGTTAAACGTGAGGTTTTTATAGCTCTCAGCAGTTCTTAAGCGAAAGAGTTTTATGTAGTGAAAACAATTTCAATAGACAATATCCTTGTACTTCCCTTTTCCTAGTTTCCTGCTATTCCTGGGTGAGGCGTCCTGTGAATAATTTTTGCTACCTATGACAAGAGTATTACTGAGTCATAGTAGATTATTTACAGAATCTCTCAAGTTATGAAATGGTTTTCTATCTGATGCATCGTGTTTGGGTACACTAGTTTGCTTCATTTGGTGAATCTTGTTTGGATTCCAAGTTTCTTCATTTAGTGCATTGATTGATTTTCGTGGTCTTTTTCTTATTATCACCATGTCTATCTCATTTTCAGACCCCCAACCTTGTTTGGAGTGCCCAAAGAAAAACCATTGCAGCTTGTTGATGTCGAGGCCTGCATTGAGCCGACTAACGTATTTTCAGTTCCGGGAGCAGAGGCAGGACCTTCACTTTTGGAACTTGGAGATGCCAACGGAAAATTGCTGGATGTTGCTCCTTTTGATGCTCCAATAAAATCACAGGAAATGTTGATACCCATTGTTCCTGAACTGAAGTTGCCAGAACTTGTTGCAGCGTCACTTTATGAGACACAGCATCTTGAACCTCACATAGAAAACCAAAACCAATCTTTTCATGAAAATCCCATTGTTCATGAGATTCCATCGGATAGTGCAGCCCCAACAGAAGAATTAGCTATAAGGGAAGCAAATCCTCCAACAAAGGAACCTCAAAAAGAACCTGATGTGGTGTCTGCTATTCACGAGGTCAAGAAGTCTGTTTTTCGGTTCAAGGTCAGAGTACCTGCTGGACCCAGCAGAGCTGAGGGATCAGTACGATCCATGGAAAGATCTCAAGGGATTGTGGTACGACATGATATAGACCGAGGGCAAACTAGTTCAGCTTCTGTAGACGCTCCACAGAGAATCTCAGCCGATGCTGTGAGCATCAGCAATCAGAATCACGTGGAGGAAGTAAACTCGTGCCATGATGTTGGGTCTCGCATGACTGCAAGCATCGGCAGTGTAAAATTTGTAAGCGAAGGCGATACTTTTGGGAAAGAGTTGCAGTGCACTGCTGAGTCTGGGAAACCTTCAACAAGTCAAAAAGTAGATGATAACGAACAAATTGCAGGGCCGAGCTTCTTACCAGAAGACCATAGTCTGGTCGACGAGGCGCAGCAGAAATATGCAAGCCTTCAAACGCTTTCCGTTGGT